ATGATTTTGAAGACTGCCCTAGATAGGCTAGCGCTCTTATGGTTAGCAGTTGGCCCACGTCTGTACTCTATAGGGTCTCGAAGTTCCAATAGCTGCGGACACAAAAGTGTCGTGTACAACTCTAAAGCGGCTTAAGTACCAGAGATCTCGAAAAGTCTGCTATTTAGTCAAAAGCGAGTGATCTTGTTTTCACTAAACCAAATTCAGGTGGCTTCCGCGCCATAGGGCAACAGGTAACAGCAGCTTTCAGGTTTTCTTCTGCTGCGTGACTCTTCCAGGCTGACGAACTCCTGAGCACTTAATGAGTAGCAGTAGGAAAGATGGGACATAGCCAGCTGGTTGATGTCATATGTATCTGTTATGTGAAAGCTGGCTCAGACTCCCGATATGCTCGACATCGACAGTTATCACCTTTCTGACCCATCCCAGGAAGCTGCACATTGGCTAGCTCTTCTCTGATTTAGGATTCTTTTCGAACAGGCTTCACATCTATAAAGAGCTCTAACAAGAGAAGAGGGGTTAATTTCTGTGCTGTCACATGAATCTCTCACCCCTTTGCTTTAGCACTCACATCTTATATGCTCTCATTTTCATGTTCAGTTGCTGTTGAGTGATAAATTTTTTCGCAGTTTCGAATTAGGTTGATGAGGGTTGGAAACTGTCAGACAGTATCGCACGCGCTGCCGCCTTTGTCGCTTTGTCGTGATTTATACGTCAAGTATGGCCGAATCAAACGAAATCATTCAATTCGCCTTTCAACTTACCGCACGGTGTGTGGCCGACCCGAAAGGTGAGAGAGGGAGACGAACGAATTCTCAAATCCTCTCCAACGGGTTAAAACTCGCCATGACCTCATTACCGCAGAAACACAACTCACAGCACCTTCTTCTTCTCTTTGTACTTATTTGAACCGAACTAGTAGGTAAACAAATAGGTAAACACGGGAAGGGACAACAAATAAAAAGGTCGCCGACTGATGAAAGTTGTAAGAAACTGCAGGGGAACTTTTCATTTTTTAGGACCACAGCTTCAACTAACACATCTGTGTCCCAATTACCATACTTTCAGTGAGTAATTTCCAACGATTGTTTTGTGGAAAAAACAAATAAATAAAACAACTGCTAGCTGGATGGTTTCGGAAATTATTACAATACTAGTAATCTTTGTCCTTTAGGGGGAGTACCGATAACTATCAAGAAGCACACAGTACACTGATTGCTAGAATGAGTCACAAAACACGGCATAATTCCGTAATCTTATCATGAAATCGACGATATAGTCTTAGAGCAGCACACTGACACCTGATTAGGAATTAACAATAGGCAATTTTCTGCTATAACATAGCTCTTATTTGAATTATTACTCATATTTGGGGCCCAGAAAAAAATAAACTTGGTTAGCTTGAACGTCTTCAACTCCTAACCGTTCTTACAAATTAGGCAAATAACTGGCGAGAAGAGAAATTTGCGATGTCACATCGTGGACAATCGATTTTTGCTATATTGAAGCCTACTACAATCTCATGCCAAGTGAGTAACAGCCAGTACAAGGATTTTTATCAATCAAGTAGTTTGCAGGGTTGTGTAAGGTCTAAGAGGAACCATTCTCTGCCTGAAATACAGTAAACCCATGAAACTGCATTCATAACTCAATTATTGAACGCCCGTTGAATGCTATGCAGTGGGACTCTGGCAACTAAAAGTCCTACACGGCAGCCGAATAAACCCAAAAGGTCCTAAAATGAGGAAAGAGATGATAATGTGGAGCAGGCCAATATAAGGTAATTAAATGGGAAGGACTTAATGTCCCGAGCCAGACGGGAAGACTTAACTAGAATCTGTAGCCTGTCTATAGTAGCTGCTTTTCTCGACCTTGGCCCTGAAAATGTCACTCACAAATTTGTGGAGGAGACCTACTTAAAATCATAACCCTTCTCATACAAGGGTTTTCCCGCAAATAAAATATCTCATAAAAAATGGTACAGGTTCGATGGCACCAATCATAACCCAGTAATCTCGTAAAAAAATGGATTTGATGTCACGGCCAATTCTTTAGCCAGGATTTCCTTGAATTTTTCAACTTCCGATAGCTCTTTCTTTGCCCAATATCAGCAGGTGAAAATTCCACCATTTTATTTGCAGGGGAGTCAAAATTACAGTACCAGGACAACGGAGATTACGTTGTGTACGGAAGAGCTAATCTATGACAACATGGCCACCACTTCCTTTGGTGGCCAGTTTACCGCCGCCCGACTGCACTTGTTACTGTTTTGCAATTACAAGTTATTACATGAATGACGTCATGTATCTGCGCAACAAAGAACTCAGATGAGTCGGCAAATATTACAAGCCGACGTTTGAACTCATATACACAAAGCCATCTGCCCAAGCTATGTAGTTGAATATCAGCGTGTGTATGGATAAACAGCACGAATATCGATTTATTTCAAGTGAAATATCCATTGAAAATCACTAAAAGTACATACAATATTTATGACACATAGAAAATTCTGATTATAAGATTTGCAGGTATGTTCAGTACGCGCGGAAGGCCATGAGGAGGGGATAGGGTGATAATTTCGATGAGGTTTGAAACCATTTCTCCCCCCCCCCGTAGGCACTCCGGGCTAAAAACGCCCTGGTGACTTGGCTTCAGCCGGTGAATCGATAAGATTTCGCTTCCGCTTCTTACAAAGGCAATTTAGCACCCAAAATATAATGAGCTGGGCTGTGTGGCGCGGACGTCTGAGGTGAACCCGAAAACTCGGAGGCGACATTCAGTGAGCAAATACAATATACAGAGGAATATAAAGAATAGAAAGGAACTTACAATGATATTACATACAAGAAAACAAGTAAAATTCGTAACTCGTAGACGGACATTTAAACAGCACTGGTCTGAACTCGTAAGGCTTTCACGGTGCACTAGCTTGTGTACGAGAAATCGTGTAAAAACCTTCCGATTACCTATTTTCTGAGAGATAGCAGTAGTTGATCTTCTATTCTGTTTTCTTGAATACTCTTCCCTGATTTCTCAGTGAAATTGATGATAGAGTTCGGCTGGAAACATGGCCGCCGGGTGGTGAGACGGGGCATAGTGAGGGGGCGGACCATAGGCGACTGGCGGACGAATAAGCGGCGTGTTCGACGGAAACTGTAGCGACATCTGAACAAATCAAATTTTCCCGCCAAATCTTCCCGCAGTCCTTTAAGCTTTGATCTATCTGGACGACTTTACACAGTCCTTCAAATTTTGAACTGTCTGAATAAGCGAAAAAAATCACTGCTCACCTCATTCACGTCGGGTTTCATGTTCAAAAAAGGATCACCAGGTGTTCCAGTGCTGGCATGTCCTGAGTCGCTGCTCTCGTCCAACTCCGGTGTCAGACAGTTTTTCTCATGTGCCTAAACGAGCGGCGATTTTCGTTGACGTCGTTCCGTAAACCCCCGTCCCTCAACGTTTTTATGGGATGGTTCATGAATGCGATTCACCACACACACGGCCCCGTTATGTGCTGCTTTGTATCAGACCGCTGGCCAGAAACCTGATTGCGAAGCCGCACCTTTACAAACGGGACTCTCAGTTACCTTCAGCTGATCGTGTGGAGGTGATGAGCTGGATGAGGATGACTTGCTAGGGATGGGGTCAACGAACCTCGCGATCGTGGCCAGTTATCTCTCGACGTGCGCGAAATGCGCTAAGCCGTCAAATGCCAATAACATGTCATCGGATTGAGCGGATTTGGACGCGAATTTGAGCGCTTGAGAAACGTGTCTGAGGTGCGAGGAAAGAATGGAGCTGCTGACGTGACGGATTTAGATCTACTCGGCTGATTCTAACACGATTCAACTTACCTTCATATGCTTCCTCAGTGAACTTGGATGGCTGTAGACCTTCTTGCAGCCTTTCACCTGGAAAAAATTGGTTTACAAGTTTACTCACAAAAATTCTTCTCATTCTCAGAAGAGATTTTGGGGAGATTTCGGGTCTCTCCAGTTAGGGGGGGGCATCATGATGCAGTTTCTTGGCGAACCAAGTGACTGCCCTCACCCCCACCCCCTAGACTGGCTACACTCCCCCTGGCTCGGAGTTACCCTAGCTTTCTGGAAAAACTGCATCATGATGCCCCCCTAACTGGAATAGACCCGAGATTTCTATGAAAATTACCTTGCATTCGTAGGGTTTTTCCGAGGTATGCACATGCATGTGCTTTTTTCGATCCGACGAGTTGGCGAATGTCTTGTCACAGCCGGCATGTGGACACGGAAATGGCTTCTCCTCTGAAAAGAGTAGAGCCTTACTAGTAATGTGCTAACCAGGGCCTGGTCTGGAGTTCTGGACAGGCTGCGCCAATGGCAATTTGGCG